GTTTGTGTGAGTACACCATACATGTGTGTACTGCTTTCGCATATTACGCACGTACGGTCTACAAAAGTTGTAAAAACAACTTCCAAAGTTTTGGAATCCCTGTTACATGGTATTTTCTTGTCATGTTAGGTGTTGTAAAATGTATTGGGAAATCTTTTTTCCAGAAAAGTGGATGTTTTGGGAGACAAATAAATATATATTGGTGGGTGTAAGAATTGAAACAGTGAAATCATATGCCCAATTGTCTAAAAGATGCAAATCATGTTGGTATGAGTGTTTCTTAGCATACCAAATAAACTTTTAAGATATAGGCTATAAATACTCACAACCAGTCCAGCTCTTCAACTGCTTGGCATATTTCTGGTATCACACCCATCTCTGCAATTGGAATATAATGCTGATAATAGCTATGGAACGCAAGAAAGGGCAACTTTCAATCACATCAGGTTTTCAGGCTCTGCACACTCAATTTTCATACACACATTTGAGAATTGCTAATCAGACTACCAAACTTCAGTTATCGAGGTAACAAACAATGTACTACAATCAGCGATAGTAATCATCATAACATTAACAATAATAACATGAAGAAATATTACAATTTCAACTAAATTATGATGGTATTTAGCATTGAAATATATGCAATTAGCATGTTCACACAATTCTCAACAAGATATTCTGACATTACATTGGGGGGGGAGGGGTAAACCCTGGCTTTTTAAAAAGTAATAAAATGTCAGTCAAAAATCGTCGCAACCACAAAAAAAACTGCTGAAATACACACACAGACGATTGTCTGAAATTAGGCTGCCAGCGAAAGTTTGATGAACTCTAGTTCCATGCAGTAGCGAGAATATGCATTGATCTGGGTGTATAAAGCCTTGTTTTACGTTACGATGTATTCACAATTGAAAAAAAAACTCTGTGGGGGGAGGGATAAACCCTGGCGTACGCTTTTTAAAAAGTAATAAAATGTCAGTCAAAAATCGTCACAACCACGAAAAAAACTGCTGAAAATACACACGTAGACGATTGTCTGAAATTAGGCTGCCGGCGAAAGTTTGATGAACTCCAGTTCCATGCAGTAGCTAGAATATGCATTGATCTGGGTGTATAAAGCCTTGTTTTACGTTACGAGTTATTCGCAATTAAAAAAAAAACTCTGAACTCTAATGGCTGAATGTGTGTTGATAGTTGCTTGGCCATGTGGTGAGACTGCTGATTCATGACACCGCAACTGTTTTTGGAAAAAGCGAAATTAAAAAATGGCTAAAGTAGAGAGGAAGAAGCCGTCGATGACAATGCCTAATTGTTTCTCTAAGGCCTAGGCCTAGCCTAGCTTGTCTAATATAAAAAGCAAATGTTGGGGCCCTATCGGCTGTGTGACATTTTTGTAAAATGTAGCCTAGGCAAAAATGCTATTATATAGGTTAGCCTACTTTTACTAATACTAGCTACGTACTACTAGGCTTACTTACTACTGCTGGCTAGGCCTAAACTACCTACTTACCTACTAGTCCTACTAGTCCAACTGCACCTAGTTAATAGCTATGCCTAGAAATAGAGGCTAGGCTTACACATATTCAATTAAAATGCTCTCATTAATAATAATAATAATAATAGTGTAGTTTTATATAGCGCACATATCCATCTAATGTATAGTAAGATACTCAGGGCGCTTGATACACCCTATTATATTGTAAATTCAACATCTTTTCTATAATTTCTATAATTTTATGTAAAGCGCACAGAGGCACTGTGCAATATGCGCTATATAAATGTAACTTATTATTACTATTATTATTATTATATGTGGACTAGGAACTCGATCAAGACTTTCTTCGCCCCTACACCTTCGTGTTTGTGCTACCTGGTTACCCGGTACCAGCAACTCTCGTCATCCACCACAGGGGCTGTCTGTTCCAGTACACCGGGTATCCCCTACTCGTCTCGAAGGATATACTGGGTTCTTTATAGTGCACACGAGCCATTGTATACACTGGGCCTACGGTTTATAGTCCTTATCAGAGAAGACTTGTTCTACCACCAGAACCATAGGCGAGCGTGCCATTCGAACCAGTGCCGATATTATGGCTATAGCTTGCGGCACCCCTGCTAACCACTCCGCCATTCGACTCACCATTCATAGAAGGTTTTCAAGAAAACTTCTTTGTTTTTTGTTAAATGTTATTTTCTTTAATATGATTTCTTATTTTACAATTACTTCCATCTTTTTAAATTTAACCCATTCACTTGACAGGTCTAGCTTTGTGTGCATTTTTTCCCTGATTTTAATACTGACATTATTTTAATATACTACACCTGTAAGTACAGTACCTTGTTTATTTGAATAAATGTCCTGTTTATTGGAATAAATACTGTTATATTGATATTTTTTTCTATATTTATTTTTTTCTATATTTTTTCTTTACTAGGCTACAGGCTACAGTACATCTGAAACTGCCAAGAGTACTGAAACTGTTGCTGTTCCCTTCCTATTCACGTGGAAGTTGATGAACCAAAAGGCACTCCTGCTACAGCTTTGGCTATTAGAAGTGGCGATGTACACTTCTTCATACGGATTAGTTAACAATAACTCAGAACTGAACTCAGAACTCAGATTGTTTTATTTGTCCAAAATTATAACAAACAAATATTGTGTATACTGTAATTAAATTATAACACATTAATGGCCGCTACCATGAGCGCCACTGTAGAGATAAATAAATGTATTGTTTTACACATACAGTAGTATGATAATGTGTCTTGTATTGAATTTACTTATATATTGAACTGGCTGTTCCAAATTCTGTATTATTAGATGCCAAAAAAAATTGTTTTTCTTGTACACTTTCGGGGGGAGGGAGGTCATGAAAAAGTGTACTCTTTGTACACTTGTGAAAATGTTGATAAATGTAAAGGACCCAGTAGGCACAGCCTTGCCAAATGAAAACTAGCATCACCGCTTCCAGTCCACGAGCCTGAATTTGACGCATGCCCTACTCTGGCCTGCGGTCATCCACTTGAGTTGGCATAGCCTAACCAAACCAGGCTGAACGATCTGCTCGAGTAGGCTACTGTTGCAGCCAGAAAATATATCATTCCAAACTCTGCATCTTACTTCCGAGAAGTATCAAATTCAAGAAGCACCGAGATACATGTAACACTGTCAATGTTTGAACATTTGAAGGTAATTGGTCCAGCAGTTTTTGAGTTATGTACCCGGAAAGACACACACTACTGCAATACCTCACCTCTTCTTCAGTGTTCTCAATTGATATCCCACATGCAACCCTCTTGCCAGGATTTTTTTCGAAAGTGGCGGAATTTCTGAAAATGTTGTCCTCAAAATTTATAGGGTGATGCGCAAAATTTTAAAGGATGGATTCATTTTTGGTCGGACAAAGACAATATAACCCGTGTCCCACAATTTATTTCATTTACCCGATGCAAACAATATATGCACACTTACTGTAAATTATGAAGAAACGGAAACAATTGATCAAAACTAGTACCTACAAGAAATATTTAAACATTTTCAATCATAGTATAATTTCTTTTACAGTATAACGATTAATTACCGTTAGTAGTCAGGAAAACTTTCACTAAAGGCGAAGGTTTACAATTACTTTCGTTTACCCAACCATTGCTGTCTCTTATACACATCTAGATGTGTATAAGAGACAGGTGTTGCACGCATCAGTCCTTAAATGAAAACTAGCATCATAAGTGTTACATGGCAAGCCCATCAACAGGCAAGTTTGCATGCTGGCTGCACCGCTTCCAGTCCACGAGCCTGAATTTGACGCATGCCCTACTCTGGCCTGCGGTCATCCACTTGAGTTGGCATAGCCTAACCAAACCAGGCTGAACGATCTGCTCGAGTAGGCTACTGTTGCAGCCAGAAAATATATCGTTCCAAACTCTGCATCTTACTTCCGAGAAGTATCAAATTCAAGAAGCACCGAGATACATGTAACACTGTCAATGTTTGAACATTTGAAGTAAATTGGTCCAGCAGTTTTTGAGTTATGTACCCGGAAAGACACACACTACTGCAATACCTCACCTCTTCTTCAGTGTTCTCAATTGATATCCCACATGCAGCCCTCTTGCCAGGATTTTTTTCGAAAGTGGCGGAATTTCTGAAAATGTTGTCCTCAAAATTTATAGGGTGATGCGCAAAATTTTAAAGGATGGATACATTTTTGGTCGGACAAAGACAATATAACCCGTGTCCCACAATTTATTTCATTTACCCGATGCAAACAATATATGCACACTTACTGTAAATTATGAAGAAACGGAAACAATTGATCAAAACTAGTACCTACAAGAAATATTTAAACATTTTCAATCATAGTATAATTTCTTTTACAGTATAACGATTAATTACCGTTAGTAGTCAGGAAAACTTTCACTAAAGGCGAAGGTTTACAATTACTTTTTTTTTTTTTTTTTTTTTTTGGAATACCCAGAAATCCACATAAATTCAAAAAATGAGGGCTGTCTTGACGACACATCCCTTACGTGACCGCAAGTAGTTCGTATCGTTTGAGATGTGTCGCATGACTTAATACTGTAGCATATTTTGATTTTATACGGCGGTACACCTCACACAATGATTATGCTAATTAAAGCCATGCTTAATTGCTTCCCTTATAAATATGCAAATTATAGCGCTAGATGATCGTTTCAACCGTGACAATTAACCCCCAACCCAAGTTAAATGCACCGCCATTTAACAAAGTACACTTACTGTACATTATCTTAATTAGACACAATCAATCATAAACATTAATATGGGTATCAGAGAGCAGGAATACCAAATCAAATATTTTCTGGCAAATTGTATGCATATACTGTAATCTATGTAGGCATATAATCAACTTTCTTATATATATAAAAAAAAAATACATATAATTTCATACAAGCAAACTCATTCTGATGTTAAATTTATATACGACTTAAATAATCTGCTCCAACATTATTTACTCCTTTTATGACCCTGATTCGGTATCTGAAAGTTGTAAAATAAGAGCCCATCGTAAGATGCGACCATTTGCCACCTGTGTTTTTCTAAGAGATGTGAGAGGCTGGTGATCTCTTTGGATCACAAACTCTCTACCATAAAGGTAGGGTTCAAATCTTTGGACTCCCCATATAATTGCAAGACATTCCTTTTCAATAACCGAATATCTCTTTTGGGTCTCATTGAGTTTCTTACTCGCATATGAAACTGGAAATATTTCTCCAGCCGTTTCCTGGAGTAATGCTGCACCAATACCTGTGTTGCACGCATCAGTCCTTAAAATAAATTCTTTGTTGATGTCGGGCAATTGTAAATAGGGCCTAAACACAATTTTCCTTTAAGAACTGTAAACGCCCTTTTATGGAAAGCCGAGTCCGCCAAAAATACCAAACACAATCCATTCAACAACAATTCAAATGCACCAAATTCAAACCATTCAAACATATTCCCAATTATTCAATAGGAAGTCACACCATTCAGGTAATACTCACACCATCACATTCAAGGTGTGACCATCTACCCCTAAAG